TTCAGAACTTTGCCAACCTGCATGCATACTTCATTTTGATGTTTTTATAATCACTGTGTACATATTGTTCTCCACTCCTGTTTTTGTACTTGACATTATTTCAAACACATTCTTATGTATCTGCATCACCCACACGGGCATTTCATTGCATTTGTTTCATTCCGAGCAAGGCTATCCATTTGGCAAGTGGCACGGGGACTTGGTTTTTATTTATTTGTACAAATACTCTTCATACTTGGAATAATTATTCTTTTATTAGCTGTGTTGAGCTCATGTTTCCCTATTATTCTGGGCTCCTTTTTATTTGGTTTATAGCATTCTATTTTGCAAATTAAAAACCAAAAAGTTTTATGACTACGTCAAAACTATCCATTTTGCTTTTCTTTTACACAACCTGAAAAATAAATATGTATATGTGAACACACATTTATTTATATTGCTTATTCTAACTTTTAAATCTTTTTAGTTTTTTATCTTTGAGAAATTTATTGCAGTAATGGCTCAATATGCAGACATAAAGCAGTTCTTTTTTTAAGTTAAATTCTTTATTGTTTAAAGTATTACATAAGTCTCCTTTTTCCCCCATTGACCTCTCCCCAGCCGCTCCCATCCCCTAGCACATGCCCTCATAAAGCAATTTTTTATAGTCACATTTAACTATTATTTATTAAGTAAGGAGTTATTGTCCAACTAGAAATACATTTTTAAACATAAGTTTTTTTTATATAAACCATAAAGCATATCCTAAAATATCAGATTCAGTGGTGAACTTAAATTTATACTATAGTACTTTTGTTTTTCAAAATTAAAATTAATACTTTTTATCTTAACCTGCAAAGTATCATAAACCCTGAGCCCACTCAGAAAAGTCCATCTTTCATATCATTTTTTAAAAGTAGAAACTGTTTTTACATAGGTATCCACAAGAACCTGAAAGAATTCTAGTTGCTCATTGGTTTTTATGGTGGCATTCACCTATTTTATTAAAAAAAAAAAGAACTTTAGTTACCTTAAGGTTTGAGAAAATTTAATTGATCAGAAATTGATGTCAATCACCCTAAAACTAGAGAGTATTCCTAAAGCAAAATAAATAACAATAGCAAAACAGTAATTTTTAAAAACCACTTGGAATGTAGTCACAATTCCCAAGCAAACAAGCAAACAAAAATTCAAATTATTCTTTTAGGCCAATCTTCTAGAATACAACTTTTGCATAAATTGTACTTTTAGAATATTTTAAAAATTCAATGCAAGACAAGTTCTACCTCTCATATGTGATCTTCATGTAGCCTGAGCACATGTCCTCTATCTTCTTTCACCCTTCTTTTTTTCAGCCACTTCTCAGGACTTCTCAATCTGGCTACATTTCCCCGGCTCACCCCAGCTGGCTCACACTAATTCTCTCTGTGCCTGCTTTTCTGCATTTCTTCACCACATCTTGCCCCCCTCTCTTCCCCAAGCCATGTCTGTTTTCTCCTGAGCATTTGGCACAATGCCTGCCTGGCTTATGAGAGGAGAGGCAGGGCAGGGTGTGGTGAAGCCCAGAGCTTTGGAGGAAGCAGGTTGGTCTGTAGTTTCTATAAACCATAACGTGTATCCTAAGGAGCTCATAGAGAGCGTCTGCCTTTCTCACAAGTTGATAATTATAACCTCGCAACAGGAGTTTATCAATTGAGTTAATTCACTCTCACCTTTCCCTTCGTTGTCCTTGATTTGGTATTACCAACATCTTCATTCGTTACGCCACACAAGAAGAGGAAAGTCGGTCTGGCACAGCATCATGGCCAGTTCTGTATCTTAGATCCACGTCACCATGCTCCTCTCTCCCCTCTGTGATCTGATTTCCTTGTTAGATATGTCAGCATCTGACACATATTACACCTCCACTCTACCCTACTGCTCTCTCCAGTCCCAATGGTCTTCAAGTTCATCAAACTTGGAACCACCAAGCCTTAGGAATTCCCCGCTGGTTCCTTGCCTAGAAGATGAATATACGAGGTCCATTACATTAATGTTTCTACTTTGTGTATGTTCAAAAATGCCATAATAAGAATTTTAAGTAACAGTTACTTAACAATGATAACATCATTCTATGCCCATGTTATATGAACCCAAATAAAATGTTTTTCACTTCTGTCACTACCAATCTTGGTCATAGATGATATTGATTATGAATTTTTGTACATATTGAATGGTTTTAATTATTTCTACTAGATATGTATACATATGTAGTATATATAGATACATACATGCATGCATACATACATAAATAAAACATGATTATTAACGTTAATGTTGAAGAAATGACGAAAAGCTAAGAAATTAGTGTGATCTGTACATTGCTATTGTGTAAATAAAAAGAAAAATAAACCTTTAGAAAGACAATTTCAGAAGATCCAGGTATGTGTCACTAGACATTAAATTATTCATACACATAAATTTCATTTATTGGAATCTCTTTTAAAGGGGGGACTTCTAATGGCAGGAGAGATTTTATATAAGAAGATGGTCAATAGAACTTCCTTTTTTCATAATAGCATAAAACATTTGAAATCCCTTTGTGACCAACCATAGGGAGATAGCTGGATAAACATCAGTATATTCATCGTACCTAATAATAGACAAGCATGTAAATTGACCGTCCCTCCGCTATGCTAACCAGCCAATCAGGAGAGTATGCAAATTAACCCAACAAAGATGGTGGTTAATTTGCATATTAGGCACGAAGCGACGGAGTGAAGACTGAAGGCTCTGCCCAGAGTGAAGGCCTGGTCCCAGGTGCTGGAGGAAAACCGGTGCCGGCAGCCAGGAGAAGGGAAGGCCTATTGCACGAATCTCTTCGTGCAACGGGCCTCTAGTCTAATATAATCATTAAGATGGTAATTCTACAAATTGTAATGCTATAATAGTAAAGAAAGACAAAATTTGATTCATAGTAAGAATATAACTGAAAAATATGTACTAAAAAAGAAATTGTATCTGTTAGGGTGGCGATATGATCAGTGTCTTATTTCTTCTTTTTTCTCCTTTTTTCATTTTTTTTCAATGGAAATGTATATGTAGACATTATGACAGTGGAATTCCCAAGGTTGTTTCTTCTCTAAAGTGGTATGGGCCTTGTGACTTAGCAAAAGTACGTTTAATTCATAGGGAGCTAAATTTTTTGAGGGGTAAATAGACGCAAGAGGAATGAGTGATATTGCTACTCTGTTACTAACAAAGCCTTTGGCATTAAGCCTGGGTGAAACCAGGGCTCACAGAGTAATCCGACCGCAGTTGTATCTTTCTTCCCAGTGTTGCTTCTGTGGCATTTCTAACTGTTAAAATGTGCACCAGAAAAAACAAATGTGCACCAATCACCCCACTGCGTCTTTGCCCCAACAAAGCAGAGCTTGGCAACAGCGCTGAAACCCCTTCTCCACTGATTGTCTTATCCAGGACTTTTATTACACTTGGAACATCAAAAATCAAAGTGGTTTCCAAGAGATGTATTAAACTGAATGGTAGCTGTGTCATTATTTCAACAACTGGGAACTTGAAGCAGAGCTACTTCCCACGGCGTTGGTTTGAACATGCGAAATTAAAGCATGTTAAGAGGAATGGTACCATACATGATGGGATGCTGTGCAGGGACCCTCAGACTGCAGCCCTTCCCACCCTACAGACCCTCGGTTCAGCAGTGTCCTCTCCGTGGCATTAGCCTTGGGTCTGCACTGCTCGTATTAGTGAGGAGGAGTAATCATCTTGCTAATCAGTTATAATAACGACTGACTGCTACCATTTGGGGCAATAAAAAGGCTAAACGAGAAAAGGAAGAAAACAGACGCACAACACTCTTTTCGAGTGCCGTGCTGTATGTTGTCTGTTTCAGATGATTTTTTTGCTCTCCGTTATGTTTTCTCTATGTTTATAGGACATTCAGGTTAAAAATTCTTCGTCCTTGAGCCATACGTTATATAAAGCCTGCTCATGTGTAGGTCACTCTGTTGAACATATATGTCATAGATAATTGGGGCAGGGGCTGGCAGAGGGTCCTTTATCGCCATATATCATTGTGGATCAAGTTACAGCCTTGGGAAGGGCAGAGCAAAAGGATTGTGTTTCCCCATTTAACCTTGGGGTCATTTCGCTGTTTCATTTCTACAAGTGAGTCATCTTGCTTGCAGTTGTAAGCCAGGTAATTGCTTTGCTCGTTTCTGTGTTCTGACCAAGCATCACGTAAGAGTCTTCCATCAGGGCATTTGCTCATTTTACTAGAACAGCCTTCAGTCCCCTTTAAAATTTTATTTTATTTCAGTGTCTAGTTATGGAGGACTCCCCTGGGCTAGGATGAAATCACACTGGGGGTGGGGGGGGGGGAGTTGATTTGACAAACGGCCACTGTGCAGGAGCCTTTGATCCTCCCCATGGTGTTAACTGGCTGCCCCTTGCTTTGCTGAGCTGTAAGCCAGATCAGAGTCTGCCCGCCCACAGGACCAGCGAGCACTGGTGAGCTCCGGAGAATTCGGGCACTTCCCGCATTCTGGCTGCTGTGGCCTTTCAGAGGGAATTTGGGCAGACGCAGCGAGAAGACGGATGAGTTTTTTCCTAGGCGGGAGTATCATGCTCCTGGCACTTGTTGCGTGATATGGAGCCCTTTATTCTCTGAAGTAGGAATTCCTAACCCTGGTTTTCCAGTCTCTGAGGTCTGCTCAGTTTTTCCAAGTTTCCAAGATTATGAAGAATAATCAATTTTTATTCACTTTCATTAAAAAAAATAAAGAGACAAAATATGGTGGATTGTGGTTAGAAAGATGGAGAGAAAAGAAGCAACTGACTAAAGATCATTGGAAACTCTTGCGCTGGTAGTTAGATGGCACATCTCTAAAAATAAAGTAAATGTCTCAAAAGCAAAAGAACAAGTGCAGATGTTGATAAAGATGGAGACTCAGTTAGCAGGGCCTGGAGGTCACCCTTCGCGGAGGCAGGCGTTGTCTAACGGCACTTCCTCTCCCTGGCAGATGGGGAGCTCTCCATATCCAATGAGGAGGACTCCCTGGAAAACGGACAGTCCCTGAGCGCCAGCCAGCTGTCTCTGCCCGCCCTGTCCGAAATGGAGCCGGTCCCGATGCCCAGAGATCCCTGCTCATACGAGGTGCTCCAACCTTCAGACATCATGGATGGGACAGGTAATAGCCCTGCGAGAGTTCACCACAGGCCCCAGCAGGGGGCATTAAGGCTCTTTGGCCTGGCTGGACTTGGGGTTTTATTGTCCACCACCCCAAGCGTTAGAATCCTAGAAATAGGGATGCAACTGACCAACCAGTACATACTGAGTATAAAAATTGGGAAGATATCCAGTTATTATTCTAGATTTTAAAAATATTTTTATACCTTTAATACCTTTAAAGTGACATACCTGTTTTTGTACTATTGATTATGTAAAATGTCATTGTTTTGTTTCCTAACACTCATTTCTGTTAAGATCAAACTAAAGAACCCTGCACTTCTCTCTGGTTCCTATCTAACTCACCTGTCTGCTTGCCCCGGCATTTCGGTTCATCCTCGCCCCAGTTACCAATTAATGGTTGTATCAATTTAACAAGTTGTACCAATTTACTGTATACAATCAATGTGTTCATTGGCCGTTACATTGTTTACCATTTGCTGGTTAACTTATATCCTGTCAACAGATGATTTTGACGCCATCTAACTACTGCTCCCTCTCTGGTCCAAAGCCCTCTGAGTGGCCAATACTCATTCCCTCCTGGGACCCTCCCCAAGCCAGTAAGGATGGGTCCTGTTGTCAGGAGTCACGCCTGGGGGAAGGGACCTCTTGGAAGATCTGGTGTGGGTTAGGGAGGCCACGTCCTTTCCCCACACCAGGTGCACAGTCTCCTCAGCAGAGCGCAGGTGGGAGGATGGCAGAGATGGTGTCTCACAGAGTCAGGTCCCGGGCTTCACTTTGGGACCAGGTGTGTCCCACGCTGATAATAACAGTGTCTCTTGGGACGGGGGAGCATTGAGCACTCAGGGGGGTTATTGCCAGGGCTTGGGTGCTGCAGGGAACACTGCTACCCAGGTCAGAGAGAAAGAAGGCGCGGAGAGGAGTCCCTTCTGGGCATTCTTACTGTAGCTGCGATAGGAGGAAGAAGTACAGGCCGCTGAGTTGCATCCCCCGTCCCGCAAGCTGGGGCGATTTTCCCAGCTGAAGCAGTGAATTGTGTTTGTATTCACCCTTCCCTGTAACACTGATCAGATGGCTTTGATGGGCATGGTGAGGTCTGACATCCAGTGGAGCCACAGTTTCAGACTGTCATCTGCCAGGAGGCCTATGCCTCTGCCCAAGACAGCTCCTCACTGGAGCCAGTCGGGGAAAAGGAAGAATCGGGCCCAGTGCAGAGCAAAGAGAAATGGGGCGAGCACATGCCAGTTCGGCTCAGTGGATGGATCATTGGCCTGAAGACCAAAGGGTCCCAGGTTCAATTCCAGCCAAGGGCACCTACCTTGGTTGCAGGCTCCTCCCCCGCCCGGGCCCTGGTGCGGCTCGGCTCGTGTTTCTCTGTCTTTCCCTCTCTTCCACTCTCCCTAAAAAAATATCCTCAGGTGAGGATTAACCAAAAAAAGTGTGTAGGGGGGAGAAAGAAATGGGGCAAATCAAAACAAGAAAACCATAATTCAGGCCAGTAAGAGGAGAGAGGGAGGGGGAAGACAAAAAGGTGTTGAGGAGCATCCTTCACCTGGTTGAGGTTTTTAGGAGCCGCAGGGCCAGGGAGGTGCGTGTAGAAGGCAGGGCGCCCACCACTCAGGGGGCTCCAGAGCAGCTGCCCCACATGTGTAGGCCGCCCCCCTGGTTCAAACTCTAGGCTGTCTTCATTACCTGGTGTCCCAGACCTGGGAGCAAGGACGAGACCCAGCGGGCAAAAACAAGAACTCCCTCTCTCTCCCTGCCTAGCACAGGGCAGCGGGCCCCAAGGGAGGTGCTGGTGTTTGGTGCTGGCTCGGGTCAGAGGAGGCACTTCGTTCCAGACGCATTACCCTGCCGTCTGTGGGCCGTCACATTCTAGAGCACCCACAGAGTCAGCATTATAACCGCCGAGATGGACGTGACAACGTTTTGAGAAAATGCCTTCTTCCTTTTTCTCCCTCTTGATCCTTCCCCCCTCTCCCTTTCCTGCCTCTGCCTCTGCCTCCCCACTGTGCCCGGAGAGGGGTTTCCAGCGTCCTCTCTAGCTCCCCACACGCTCGGGACCGCCTGGAGGAGCCGGAGCGCTGCCTGTGGCTGCCCCTCCCCTGTCCTGTGTGCTCGCCAGCCCCACGCACTGCATCTGTGTAATGTCTCCTGTGTGTCCTGTGGTTGTCCCCTCAGTGTCTGAAGAGAGTCCCTCTGCCAGTGAGTCTGGAGTCCTCCTGTCCCAAGATCCTTCAGCCAAACCAGTCCTGCTACTGCCCCCCAAAAAACCTGCTGCTTTCTCTGGAGACCATGAGGAGACCCCAGTGAAGCAGCTGTCCCTCCTCAAGCAGCCCCCCGCCCTGCCTCCCAAACCCACAGCCAGGATTGCCAACCACTTGACAGGTGAGTGAAGACGTCTCTGGGAGCACCGCCCCCCCTTCCCTTCAAGGGAAACCTCTGCTCTTCCTTTTCACCTGAAGCCCGTGCATCGCCTCGGGGAAGCCACTCTGTGGGACTGCGGGACTGTGGGTGTTTCCGTGTGTGTCTTGGTACACGCAGTCATGCCTGGGTTTGTGTCTTTGTGTCAAGAAATATTCGATATACACCTACCAGTCATGTGCCAAGAGCCTTCAGTCATGTGTATCTGTAAACGTGTACATCCATGTGAGTAATTCAAGACCACTTGCCCATCTAGGTGAGTTAGGTTCCATGTCAAAGTCTTTGCAAAGATAAAGAGTAGCACCTTGTTCCCTTCATAATGAATTTGCCAAAACTTTAAATTTTTGTCTTTAAATTATTGATGTGAAGGCCAGCATATTTCTTTTATTAAAATTTATATCTGTGCTGTTCTCTTAAAAATAGAAAAAAATAAATAAGCACCAGCGAAGTGGTTTGACCTATGAACCAGGAGGTCGGGGTTCGGTTCCAGGTTGCCCGGAATCCATGCCCAGTAGGGGGCTTGCAGGAAGGAGGCAGCTGATCAATGATTCTCTCTCATCATTGATGTTTCTATCTCTTTCTCCTTTCCTCTGAAATCAATAAAGAAAACTTTTTTAATTTTTAAAAAGCAAAGACAATATCTGTAAAGTATTGTGAGAAATACTTTTAAAAGAAGAGTAAGCTTAGGAATGTTGTTCTAAAATGATTCTTGCATTTTCATTTTTAAATTGTTGCTTAACTGATGTGCCCACGGTATTAAATCAGCTGTCCAGTAAATTGCCCTTCCCTGCACATTAGCACGTGAATCAGATACCCCTGGGATTTGAGCCTGTGGTGTATCAGAGACTAAAGATTTCAGAGGGTTGTTCTCCAACCTTGATAGTAATCCCACCTGATGCTGATCAACTGCCTTTTTACAGTGTCTTTGGTATTCTTATTGTTTTTATTTATCTCCGTAGATTTTTGTAAGATGGAATGGGGATAGAGGTTGGGAAGAATAGACACTTATTTTATAATAGAAAATTGAGGTTCAAGAAAATAAATGCCGTTTTCCAGGGTGGGCAAGAATTCTGCTGTAGAGCCACGATTAGACCCTGTGTTTCCCGACGCCTAGTTCAGTGAATGTTGTTCCAGGATCGTGGGATTCTCTCATGCGGTGCTGGGTTTTATTAGAGTCCAACCTAAACATGGAGCTGTGTCAAACTACTCCATCAACGTATGCATCGATCCCTGCAGATGTTTGTGGTTTAAAAGGGCAAATTTCCATGTATACCATTCAATTCATTAATAACACTTTCGTTCAGTGCCCCAAAGTTTAAACGCATAGAAAACCACAAGGAGAAAATGCTCGCAGAAGAGAGCCTCCTTCCAAGAGAGCACCCTGTCCATCTACCTATCATATCTACCTATCTATCTATCTACCTATCTATCTATCTATCATCATCTATCTATCATATCTACCTATCTATCATATCTATCTATGATCTATCATCTATCATCTATCTATCTATGATCTATCTATCTTATCTATTATCTATCTATGATCTATCATATCTATTATCTATTTATGATCTATCATATATATCTATTATCTATCTATGATCTATCTATCATCTATCTATCTATCTATGATCTATCATATCTACCTATGATCTATCTATCTATCATCTATCTGTCTATCTAACTATGATCTATCTATCATCTATCTATCTATCTATGATCTATCATATCTACCTATGATCTATCTATCTATCATCTATCTGTCTATCTAAAATACTGCTGTACAGTCTTCTATCACTGCTCTGTGCACTCAGTGATATACTGTGAACTGATTCCCATGTTAGTGAAGATGCACATGATTTTCTTGGCTGCTTGGTCTTGGTCAGGATTTACTTGATTGCCCTCTTATGGGCTTTCCATCTTCTCCTTGTGAAAAGCACAATAGCAAACATCCTCAACATCATATGTTTTTCTTTATAAGCATGTTCGAGTCTTCTCTAATTTATTTCTAAAATTAGAATTGCTTGGTTATATATACAGTGGATTCTTGAACAATGCATGGGTGTGGGGTGCTGGCCCCCCATTCAGTTGAGAATCCACATTTAACTTTTGACTCCCTAAAAACTTAAGCTGCCCCTCTGTCTCTGGGGGTCTTGGTTCCAGGACCCCTGCGGATACAAAATTCCGAGGATGCTGAAGTCCCCTAACTTAGAACAGTGCATGCAGTCAGCCCTCTGTGTCCACAGACTCCCAACTGTAAATCAAAAATTATTTATTGAAAATATCTGCATATAATGGAGCCACGCAGTTCAAACCTCTGTTGTCCAAGGGTCAAATATATATTTTTAAAAATAGGGTGGCAAAATCACTACTGTCAAGAGTGATCCTTGTAGTTCAGTGCATGCCATCTGATGAAAGGTTACTGGACAAGGCTGAGGCTTGAGCTGACCTTTGGAGCATGAAGGGCATCTATAGAGAATGAGGGAAGAGTATTCCAGGAAAGAAGACCCTGGATAAAGACTCAGAGGGACCAACATCCGGGTCAGTGACCAGGTGGCTGAGCCAAGGCGGGCCCATCTCGGGATGTATTGAGAGAGGGTTCACTGGGGAAGGCATCCGAGGATTTAGATTGTATGCCTGTGGCAGTGGAAAGCCTGTAGAGGTTTTTGAGCAGGGGAGTGCTATGATTAAAACTAGCCTTTACAAAAGTTTCCTGGGTCACTGTGTAGACTGAACAGAAAGAAGACATGGTGGAAGACCTGACAGAGAAGCCACCGAGGCCAGACCTATGCCTCGTTCTCCAAAATCACTAGTTGAGTTAAGTCGAACAGCTTGAGCCTATTTAAGAGGCTCCTCCAGTTGTTGAAATATGAGTTAACAAGCATCTGGCTGATAGCAGTGGGAAGAGAGAGAACAGAACATTAGATAAGACATTTTAAAGAAGAATTGACAGAATTTCTTAGCCAGCAGCACCCTTTAATTTATCTAATTAATGAGGGCACACTCCATTCATGCATAGCTTCAGCTCTGAGCCCTGAACTTGCGTAGCCTGGCATCCTCCGGACTCTTGTCAACTAGCCCGATCTCTCTGGCTTCCCTCATTCTTTCCCAAGAAGAGTGGACTTTATCTATTACCTGTAAATCTCACCTCCATATCAAATGGATAAAAAAGTCGTCCTTACCATAGTGTACTTGGTAGCCTCTTAAATATGACAAAGACAAAACAGGTACAGAAGCCTGAGGGCTATGATCCCGGAGCTGGGCTTTTGGGTTTAAACTCAATTAGATTTGCTTGAATTTAGTAAGTGAGTAATCAGTCATAATGAATCCCCATCACCATGAGGCAGCTACACTAACCCTGTGTTCTGTTACTAATTACCCGAGAGACATCTGGGCCATGTCAGAAGGAATTAATAAACTGAGAATTCTAGAGCTCTAAATTGAGACTTAGGAGTTTCAGCGTGTTCTCAGTGTCTTGTTCCGTTGACAATTTGAAAGGAAACACAAGACAATTTGAAAGACACCAAGCCTTAGTGTTAGTGGTGAATTGTCTGGTACAATGCTGGCCTGAACTGGGCTACACCCAGGTACACGATCAGGGGGAACGATGCAGAAATATCTCTGCTTTGGTATTTGCTTCAACTTTATCAGGAAATTAACTTGGAGACTGTTTATCATACAAATTGTCTCTGTCCTTGAGCCAGATACAGAGAAGCCCTCCTGCTCTCCCAAACTATTTCTTTCTTCTCCTACTGTCATCCTTTTCTATCTCATCTTGTCCAGCACCAGCATGCACAGTAGCATGTACTAAAGGTCAGGAATGGCCGGGTACTGCAGTCCCTTCCATTCTTCCAGAACTGGTTGCATAATGAATACGATCTGAAATGAATGATTCTCAAAATGCATCCTTCTTGGAATGATGGCTGACCCTAAAGGAAAAGGGTGGTTGAGGCAAAAACAAAAAAAACACTGCTTCTTCCTTTCTAAGTCTTCCTCAGTCACCTCTCCAGCCATCCTATCTCCAGAAGTCAAATGTTAGACAATGCACAAATAATCCATGCCTTCTGCATAAGGGACTTGCAATTGTGTGCCCCACGAGTGCCATTTGAATAAATGATGAACCTACATGGTAGCTGGCCTTTAGTCTGACGTTTACACTTGGGTAGTAACAATGGCAGCTGCCAGATTTTGAAAACTTTACAACATACCATTCAGTCCTGTGAGGTAGGTACGATTATCATTATTCTGTACTTTTCCCAGTGGAAAAAAATGAAATTTAGAGAATTGAAATGACTTGATGATGGTTACATAGGTAGTTAGTTGGTGGCAGAGATGGACCAGATCTATATTGTTGGACTCCAGAGCCCTAACTTATAACCATTAGTTTATACCATGTCCACCAAGATACCTATTCTTAAAATAAAATCAAAATCATTTACATTCTTTATGGTTAATTGTTGGGGGTTTTTTTGTTTCTTTGTTTTTGTTTTGTGTTTTTTAATCTATTTAAGACCAAAACAATGATCCAGTCTTTCAAAAGTATGTTCTGAAGGCACTTAATTATAGAGGAGGACCTGACCACAGTTGGGTCAGGTTTCAAAGAACATGATAGAAGGAGACAGTCTATAAGATTCAAGAATGGGGCAAATAATATTGGAGCATTTGGCCACAATTCAGAAAAAAAAAAAAAGGAAACTGTTGCTGATCCTTAAAAACAAGTCCTCCCGTGAATGTGAACCTGCTGAGGGCTTGAACCTCAACTACCAGGAAACCTACTGTATTATCAGAACTAGGTTGATTGCTAGTTTTAACATTACAAACTATTTGCAACTGCAAATTTACCTGACAAATGGTATCCGTGCCCGCTGGTATTTTTCAGCCCCAAGAGGTGTCTAATGAGAACCCTCTATCCAGTGCTTGTCAAGCCAAAGCCAGTATTCCTGTTTACAGCTGTCTCTAGTTTT